GGATGTTTAGGGTAGTGGCTAGATGTTGTTTGCTAGAATCTTAGTCAGGGTTATAGACTAGGATGTCATCAAAGAAGACTAGAATGAACTTCCTAAGGTGATTGGCAAAAGTTTGGTGCATGAGTGAGTGGAAAGTGGCAGAAGAATTTGTAAGTCCAAATGGCATTACTAGGAACTCATAATGGCCATGGTGAATTGTGAATAATGTCTTATATTGATTGGAGGGATTCATTCTAATATGATGATATCCAGATAACAACTCCAGTTTAGTGAAGTATCTAGAACCCCTAAGTTCATCCATTAAGTCATCAATCACTGGAATAGGAAATTTATCTTTGATAGTAAGGGCATTGAGTTTTCTGTAGTCCACACAGAACCTCCATGAGCCATCTTTCTTAAGAACCAGTAGAACTGGAGAGGCAAAAGGACTGTTAAAGCTAACATTTCATTGCAAAGTTTTTCCATTTATGTTTTCTAGGGTAAGTAGTATCATGGGGTCTTAGGTTTACAGGGTAGGAACTGGGTGGTAAAGGAATGGTATGGTCCTAGGGTCTGGATGGAGAAAGAGAGTTAGGTTTGCCAAACACATCAGTGTATTCAATGATCACATACACAAGGAAGTCAGGGATGTTACCTAGGACTGAGGGAACAATAGTGATGACAAACAGCTGGCATGCCCACATGGGTACCTTATGCTTTAAGAATTTATGGAAACCCTTTCCTGTCATTGATTTGCAGTAACCAGTGTCTTATAACCCATTCAGTGTGACCTCCTTCCCTTATCAAATAGTAGTTGTACATTGATACATCAAACTTTACAAGATTTATAGTTCTCAACCAATCCAAGCCTAACACCATGTCATTTGAACCTAAACCGAGAATCCTGGCATCATATTAAAACTGATTACCCAGCATTTCCCACTAGAAATCCCTGCAAACCAAGTTGCTGGCCGATATAGTGCCATCTAACAACTTAACTAGTAATGGATATGTTGGTCTCGATGCACACTTGAGTTCCATCGCCTTTTGTTCATTCATAAAGGTATGAGTGCACCCAGTGTTTAAACAATTTAGCTTTCCTCACTCTACCCTTCACCACTAGAGAATTGATTGTCGATTGTTCAATGCATCCATAGTTACCTCCTGATTGGATTTCCTGCAATATATCACTTCCATTTTCCTCCACCATCACATTGGATTCATCGTCACTCCAATCTTCTAGTGATCGAATTCCCACATCATCACCATGCCAGGCATTCAGTTGCTGTTTTTCACAAACATGGCCATAAAAGTACTTGTCGCCACATTTGTAAAAGGCTCCCTTAGGGTGGTTACCCTTAGCATTCGAGTTTGGATTAGCTTTAGGCCTTGCAGATATTCTACTTCCTTTCCCTTACTTCACACCAGTACTCCATTCGTTGCTAGAATTGACTAGAGGAGGCCAAAAGTTAGACTCTTCCATTTCCTTCTCTTTTATTCATTGGAAGCCCTTCCAACTTGGCAATCTAAATAGTGTGAGCCACCGATTGAGGCTGCATCCTGGTCACTATTGGTTGTAACTCCTCATCCAAACCACTAATGAAACTAGATATAAAATAATTATCGGGTAAAGCCGGATTGTATCTCAACATCTTAGATTAGAGGTCCTCAAAATTCTCTTCATAATCCAACAATGATCCCTTTTGTTTTAGTTTATTAAATTCACCCACAATACCACCTAACAACCAATCACTAAACTAGCACACAGGGCAGGCACGAACACCTCCCAGATCCACACTCTACGACCGGTTTCCACCCTTCATACTAGATAATTAGATATCAGATAGCCGATCAAAATAGATCATCGCCATTCGAACACGCTGATCGGGTGGAACTTCATATATCTAAAAAAAAAAATTCACATTTCTAGTCCATTCCCTAGAGTTCTTGCCATTAAATGAAGTAAAATCTAAATGAGGGAGTTGAATTGGATTGTGATTACCATGAGGCATAGGAACTTCCACATCTGCAACTTTGTTCGTTGAAATCTGGCCTCGTGGTGGCAGACTTAGCTCCACCGCAGCGCCTCGATGATTTAGAAATGGAAGTATGCATGAGTCGTTGTTTTGATCCAACAACGGTCCCACCGCATCGGCCACAACCATCGCTGATTGAGGTTAACCTCCCCTGTCAAGGCGCTGGAGAACTTCCTCCAATCTTTGGTTAGTTCCTTCCATGCGACCATAAAGAGTGCCAAATTGTTGAGAATGACCATCGACTTTTGTGAATAAATCCTGCAATTGCTATCCATTAACACGGAATCGCTCTTGGGTCGCTTCAGTCAAGCCATCCATGTTGTTGATGTGGAGCGTCATGTTATCACTGAATTCTTGGAGCTTCGTCTCTAGGGATGGCAAAAATATCCGTAATCGTGGATATCCACTCGAATCCGGCCTAATCGGGTAGGGTAAAACCCGAACCCGAAGGACATTTAGTGGGTATGGGTAAAACCCGAACCCGAATATTGCGGGTAATGGGTGGGCATGGGTTTCTAACTATCCAACCCGAATACGTCCGATTATACGCATGCATGTGTATTTTCTCTAGAAATAATTATTATTTTTCTCTAACATATTTTATATTTAGCATATAAATATAATATTTTCATGAAATTGTGTTGTTTTAGTTAATTTTCTTCATTCTAGTGAAATATTCTCGTACTTTTCCTCTTACGTAATATGAGAATACGTGTGAATGTTAACATATTGGTTGGAGTTATAAAGAGAAATTATTATCCATGAATAACCGTGGATACCCAAAACCCGAACGGGTATGGGCATGATTTTATTTTTCTACCCGTTTCACATGTGGGTATGGGTATGGGTAAAACCCGAACTACTTTGGGTAGGGTAACGGATATGCACTATCCATCCCCGACCCGAATCATTGCCATCCCTATTCGTCTCCAATTGAGCTAAGCAAGTCATCGTTGATGCTATTGAAGTCGAGCAACGGTCTGATACCACTTAGTAATACCCTTTCTCGGAAGAACTCGATTGAATCAGAAATGGCGAAGAAGAAGACTCGTGATAAGTGGGAAGAAGAGAGCAAATAAGGAGGAGAGAGAGTGCGTGAGTTGAGGGAGGGAGGGAAAAGGTGTTCTGATCTCCAATAGTCGTTGTTGTACAGTGTAAAGGGTTTATAATTAAGTACAGCCCAAGTTGTTCTGATTTTCAATATACCCGTTAGAACAATTAAAATTTGATACCAACAAGTTTTCCCGTATCACACTATAGTACACCCTAATATTTGAGTTCTTTACAATTGAGTCTGGCATGTTACACCAACCTCGCCTACAAATCTCGTCTTAGTATCCTTCCTCTTAGTACCCTAATCGCACAACTTATCATTTAGTACAAAATGATCACTAAATATTTAATTTGTGTATGTATCAACAAAACACGTTTGGACAAGTATCAAAGAGATCATTCCATCCATTTCCATCCAAAAATCCATTAACTGAGTACAGTCAACATACCACGCAAACACAAAAGTAATAAAAATTTCAATAAACCAACCAACAAAACCAACCGAACCACACTGAATCCACGCTATCCGAAGACTATACCCCATAAGAATAGAAACCCAATTAGACAATAGAACTAAAATCTGTTTTCCCTCTCTCTAAATCTAACATGAGATTAGGGCAAAAGAGTCTGGTTTGTCATGAGTTGCCTCCCAAACCAAAAAAGGATATGGATTTGTTACAAGAGAGAAATCTAAGGAAGTGTAGCGGACTCCCGATTTGAACACATTTCTATTCCTAAGAAAATAAAAGTCCCCTTCCCCAACTTCGTTTCTCTTCCCCATGTAAAACAATGCATGTATTGTTTTAGGTAGGTCCCACCAACAATCACAAAAAATCATGCATTATACAATCTCAACTAAAAGTTGAGATTGTTGTGATTGTTGATTTTAGATTTGTGTCCATTTTTTCTTTCCATTTATATCCCTATTAGTTTTTGTCTTATACTAAAAATTGAGAATAAATGTGACATTTCCTCATAAAGTAACTTTATGCAAGTCAATACATAAAGTAGAATCTCAAGTTTTCAACAACCAAACAATATATTATTGCAATGCATCCATTGTACCAATACATGTATTTATTTTGTTGTGATTCATTACAATTCAACGATTTAACATTCGCAACTTACAAACGACCCCTAAAATCAATTTAGAATCGAGAAGAGGCGGTGCCAATAGCACCATTAATCAGCATTGTGGTTTTGAAGACCTATAAATTTACCATGGCATAATTTATGCGAGCGTCATGGGCGGTGTCCTCGTCATAGCCTCAGGGTGAGATATCTAAAATCAGACCTCCTTAAAATACTAACTCAAGTGGTAGAAGTCAGAGTTCTTGGTGATGCCGCCTTCTGCCCTGGGAACTCAATGAATTTCGGCGAACTAGACTGCATGTTTCTCTAGAGTGAGGGAACCCATGACAAATCCGACTCTTTTGCTCTGATTTCGAATTAAGAGAAGGAAAACATATTTTAGTTTTGTTGTCTGATTGGGTTTCTATTCTTATATGGTATAGTTTTCGGGGTCGGGTGGGTTGAGTGTGGTTCAGTTCGGTTGAGTTTAATTGATTGATTTATTGAAATTGTTATTACCTTTTTGTTGACGTAGCGCGCTAATTGTAGTCAATTAATGCATTTTGGATGGAAATTGACGGGACGATCTCTTTGTTTATCGTTCAAACGTGTTTTATTGAAATGTACAAAACTAAACTTTAGTGACCGTTTTGTATAAATGATAAGTTGTGTCACAGTAATGATAATTACCCGCAAACAGAGGCAGCGCCGTCGTTTGGTTGCTATATACACAGTGTAACGTCCTCTGCTTTACTCTCCGCGTTAACTAGGCTTCGAAATCGTGGGTTTTTGTTGCAGTTTCTACTCTCTTCCTTTTGCTTATTTCTCTTCCTTACTTGTAGAGAGACCCTTCTCAAAGTCATGTCGACGGCGGTCGTGGCGGAGACAAGTAAGAAGCTCCCTCGGCCGGGTAAGGGAGGCTACCATGGTCACGGCCTGTCAGAAGAAGAAGCGAGGGTGAGGGCCATAGCGGAAATCGTGAACTCTATGGTGGAGCTTTCCCGAAAGAATCAAACTGTCGACCTCAACGCAATCAAATCCGCCGCCTGCCGGAAATATGGCCTTGCGAGAGCTCCGAAGCTCGTGGAGATGATAGCGGCTCTCCCTGACTCCTACCGCGAGTCGCTACTGCCCAAGCTCCGAGCCAAGCCTGTTAGAACTGCCTCCGGCATCGCTGTAGTCGCAGTCATGTCCAAGCCGCATCGTTGTCCCCATATTGCGACCACCGGAAACATTTGTGTTTACTGCCCCGGTGGCCCGGACTCGGATTTTGAGTACAGTACTCAGTCTTATACTGGTTACGAGCCGACTAGCATGCGAGCAATTCGTGCCAGGTATGATTACACTGAATTGATGCTTGAATCGCTTTATGATCAGGCGCTGTGCAAGAGTCAGTCCTCATCCATGTCTGTACCTAAATTTCTTTAGCATAGTTCTTGCTTTAGCTGATTTCGGCTATGGAAAATTCTTTCAGATTACAAAAAAAACTCGCTCAATTTCTGCATATCCCTAAACATTAGCAACTTACTGCAATTCGCAAACTTATATCTATGTTACAAATCTGGTAGACCTGTTGATGTCCTTATTCGGGCCAGAATACTTTACATTGCTGGAAGTTTGAAAGATACTTTAAGTGGTTGGAAGTAATCAGAAGAGTAACTCAGATATTAGGTATCTATGTTAGCTACTTCTCTGGCAACTCTTTCATCAGATTACTTATGCACATCCCTCAAGGTTGGTCGAGGTTGCATATGATAGACTTCGTCTCTTATTCTGTTGATTAGTCTTCTATGCCTTCTACTTGCACAATGTTGTGAAACTTGTCATATAGTTATTGCTTGTTGTAACCAGAAACCCACTTACTTCAGCCACAACAACACTAACTCTAAGGAGTTCATTGTAGTCCCGTAGCCATTACACCTAGTTTATGAATCCTTATGGGTTATTCAGTCCGGAGAATGGAGAATTTGATCTTAACATCATCATTATCCACTCTCACTCATTTCCTTCCCACATTTCCTATGTGAGCCAAAGTTGTATCCTATCTCAATTGTTTTGCTCCATACAAGGTCCTAGAACAGTATCTTTAGGTGGAAAACCACTTGTTAGATGAACGTAAAATCCGTGGATGACGTTAGTTGGGCACTACACTGTTGAAGAGAGTGTAGATTAGGCTAGTATTTACTCTTCGTCTTGCTTTCTTATTAGGCTAGTATTGATTCTCTTAAAGAAACAGAGGCTGGAACTGCGATAGAGTTAAGCCTTTGATTCCAAGTTGATGCATATAAGCAATGCAGTAAAAAATGCGACTCTACTTATAAGCGTCTTGGTGACCTAGAAGTGTAAAACCGTAAGCTTTTAAGCTTTAAAACATAGATTTTGACTACACTTGTAACTGAAAAGTGCGATTCTACATAGACGTGTTTTGGTGACCGAGAAGCGTAAAAGCGTAAGCTTTTAATTTTAAAAGCACGACTTTCACTGCATTGCAAATAAGGTTGTTATTTAAGTGCTGGAATTAAGATGAAACTGCAGAAAATAGGGGTTTAGATGGGATGAATGAATAGCTGTCCTGCCAATCAATTGTAAAACCCAATAATGAACAGAATTATCCCTTTTCTGATCTTTTGTATGTTCCTCAAGGATAGGGTTGTCCCAAGGAATCTAAATTTCTGATCTTTTGTACCTTTAAACTGTATAATAATTTCGCTAGGGTTCTTGTCATGATAATAGCCCTTTGCCCAAGTCTTGTTCAAATAGTGGACCGTCAATTACATTCCTGATATCAATATTAGATATAATTTAATTTGCTGGACTTGTTTTCTGATCTTTTCTATCAAAATTCTCGTCATTATTAATGTGAGAATAAAAAAGATATAACTGTTTTCTGTTTCCCTGTGCTGCAATCATGAAGTGCAACTTGTTTTCCTTTTCCCTGAACATTTTTTTATTGGGATTTGCCACCTTGTTCACTGCTTTGGAGCGAGTGTTGTCAGGATAATAACTTTTTCCCATCACTTTTCCCTTCCCAGATATAACCCGTATGTCCAAGCCAGGAGCAGGATTGATCAGCTTAAGCGCTTGGGTCATAGTGTGGATAAGGTCATACTTGTTCTGACCCGTTTTCCCTTGCATGTTACCTTATTGATTTGAATTGACAGAACTTAATCTCAAGCTACCCTGTCTGATACTAATGTAAATATTCTTGTACATTTTCAGGTGGAGTTCATATTAATGGGTGGTACCTTCATGTCTCTGCCAGCAGATTATCGTGATTACTTTATAAGAAATCTGCACGATGCTTTATCTGGGCATACTTCTGCCAACGTCGAAGAGGCAGTTGCCTACTCTGAGCATGGTTCCACAAAGTGCATTGGCATGACGATTGAGACGTGAGCTATTGAACATTTTAATGCACCGTATTCAAGTTGCTAGTCATGACTTTCAGGATTATCTTGGATTCTTTTTTGTAAAATATACGCACCTAAATTTCAGAAGAAATACACACGTACACACACTCACACTTAAATGTTTCGTTTGATCTCACAACCTGAATGCCAGTATGTCTGTGTGCAATCAGGTTGTTGTGAATTACAAATATCTGATTCCCAAGAATGCCCATTCTATCGCTTATAGAACTTGAATCTTTAGGTATCCATCTAGTGTCATTAGTTAAGAGTTAATTATGTATTTTGTGTGTGGCGTTTGATCTCCTTTGATTTTTATTTCTTGCAATGATTATAAGGTTAATAGTATATAAAATGCAAAATTCACCTTCTTGATTGATCAGGAGACCGGATTATTGTCTTGGACCTCATTTGAGGCAGATGCTATCTTATGGCTGTACAAGACTAGAGATTGGGGTTCAAAGCACGTATGAAGATGTTGCACGGGATACTAATAGAGGACACACTGTAGCTGCTGTTGCTGATTGTTTTTGTTTGGCAAAAGATGCTGGTTTCAAGGTTTGTTGCTGCCCTTAGTACCGGTTGGCTTTAGTTTATTTGAGGAAGTACGAAATGCAGGTATCTGTTTTTTGTAATAGCCTCTGGCTTCTGGAAATTCCAGAAAATAATAGAAACAATAGGGTATAACATGAAACAATATGGGAGTACAAAGGAAAACTAAACCTATTCTTCTAACAATTCCTAATTAAATCATTCTTTTCCTATAAGACCAACCCATGTAACTCTTAAAACCCTCGAATAAGGTATAACATGAAAAATAAATAAAGTTGCAGCAACCTTCATCGGAATGGGCTAGCTGGTGACATATAGATTTTCTGTTTATCCTTGTTTTTTGTTCTTATATATGTATAATTGATCTGCTTTATCAAATGCAAGACTAGTTCTCACCAAAAAGAAATTGCAAAGACTAGTTGGTTCTTGAGTTGTTTCGTACACGTACTTATATATTTACTGGATGAGGTGTGGAGTATTGATGAATGGTTTCTTCTACAATGCTCTCTCTACCAAATTTATTAGTGCCCTTTGCAGACTTGATTTTGATCTATATTTCATTGTATTTTCTCATAGGTTGTTGCTCATATGATGCCCGATCTTCCAAATGTGGGAGTTGAGAGAGACATGGAAAGTTTTCGTGAATTCTTTGAGAACCCCTCCTTTAGAGCGGATGGACTAAAAATCTATCCCACTCTTGTTATCCGTGGAACTGGGCTATATGAACTTTGGAAAACTGGCAGGTACCCTATGTTTCCTGATTAATTGATTAGTAGCCTTTTTTTCGTCTCCTTTCTTCCGAGGATACTGTTCCGTATTTGTTTTGCTTACACTACAAGCAGTATTGGTACTGTTTATTTTCTTATTTAAAAAGTCTCAATGCAGTTAAGAGGTTAATTTATTGAAGGTGGTCGTAACTCTCGCAGGTACAGAAATTACCCACCTGAGCAACTCGTAGATATAGTGGCCAGGATATTAGCAATGGTACCACCTTGGACGCGTGTTTACAGAGTTCAGCGGGATATTCCCATGCCGTTGGTTACATCTGGTGTTGAGAAAGGAAATCTACGTGAGTTGGCTTTAGCCCGGATGGAAGATTTGGGCTTGAAATGCCGAGATGTCCGAACACGTGAGGCTGGAATTCAGGTCAGTGTAAATATTGATTGAAGTTGTGCAACAGGTTGATTATATAGCTCTATATTTTTCCAGTCATTAACAATTGCACTTCCCAAATGACCTAATTAGGACATTCATAACAAGATTAGGCCCGAAGAAGTTGAGCTTGTCCGCCGTGATTATACAGCAAACCAAGGCTGGGAAACATTTCTCTCATACGAGGATACACGCCAGGTAGTCTGAAATTCCCCTTCTGTGTTTATTTTGTGCAGTGGCAGTCCCTTTAATGTGTATAGACAATTGAGAACCTAGGAGTTCTTTGGATGATAGTCGAGACTCCACGAATTTTAAACACCTTTTCCTCCATGTTTTTGAAACCCATTCCTACCAATGTCTATTTCGTCATTCATAAATACCTTTTAATGTATTGGCGAGTGCATTGAGGTCTATTCATCTTTCAAAATCATGATTCATTTTATTACCATTTATTCCGAAAATCTGAAATCCAAACTACCAAAAAAAATTTATGTTCTGAGTGGAACTCTTTATAAGGAAAGGTTTGATAACTGTCAAAATCCATTGTTTTTCAAGTCAAATGAATTTGGTACAATCCATCACGTTTCAAATCCAATATGGAACTTTTGTTTGTCTTTTGAAGAGAAGTAAGGCTGAAAACATTGATTGGTGACATTTTAGATAGCGAGACATAACGCATGTTTATGTGACAGGACATACTCGTTGGGCTCCTGCGGTTGCGTAAATGCGGCAAGAACGTGACATGCCCGGAACTGACGGGGAGGTGTTCCATTGTTCGAGAACTCCACGTTTATGGGACTGCAGTTCCTGTTCACGGGCGAGACTCAGACAAGCTGCAGCACCAGGTATTCGTTCACTAAGTTCCCTGTTTTACCTGGAAGATTGTAGGGAGAACAGAGATTTTATGAAAACTTGGCTTGTTCCTGCTGGCAGGGATACGGCACTCTTTTGATGGAAGAGGCCGAGAGGATAGCCAGGAGGGAGCATCGATCAACTAAACTAGCTGTGATCTCAGGCGTAGGAACCCGTCATTACTACAGGAAGTTGGGTTATGAGCTTGAAGGCCCTTACATGGTGAAATCTCTTGCCTGACTGACTGGCAGCTCCAACTAAATAACTCCTGTACCATTGATTTTGTAATCTGTATCATGGTTTCTTGGCCCTTATTGTCCCCCAAATGAGGACTGGACAACTACAAACCATAAAATTGGGTAATGATAAGGTGCAATACTTCACGGTGTCTTTTATGTTCTTGACTAGTTAACTAATATATTTTCCAACAAAAATGCAAGGATTGTGAAACGGTATTGGATGTCATATTGACATATTAGAAAGTCAGTGATAAAGTATTTTGTAGTAAACTTGTGGTTTAATTGCGATTTAATCATTTTTATCGTTAAAATCACTATCGTTTGGGTTTGGTATTTGATATTTTTGGTTCAACCGGCTGGTACGATAGTTATTCTAAACTTTGCTAAAAAGGTTAATATGTTATTCAGAAGCTTTTTTTGATTCATAATCATCACAAAGCTCCTATAAGGTTATTATGGACTTTCTCTCGATCAAAACTAACTAGTTAACCTAAAGTCTAGTTCACTTACCTTTCTTGTTTCCATTTCATAAATTTGGCAATAGAAATAAGAAAATTTGTTTACATTTATTCTTTTTTTTTCTTCGTTCCCAATCTGGTAAAAATAGTGCTAGGTTGTTTCCACCGATTTTTAACATTTGTTTTCTCATATTTTCAATGAAAAATTATTCTTTTCTTATCTATTACATGACATACTCAAATTATATTGTTCACAATTATTTTAGTAATTTAATTTGTCTTTCACTTAGCTTTTATCCTTTTAGATAGAATTTTAACCTTATATTCAAAATTAATTACTGTGCAAATGCCACTATGATTTGTATATTTCGTAATTTTAACTTTTATATTGTAATGGTATGATTTGTATAAATCACAATATCCATTCACAATAGAGCACAATTCTATAATCTACAACATATCAAACATGGTTCCTATCATCCAAGTGACAAGGAGGACTACTCCATAGCTAGAAGAGAAATAACAACTAAGATAGAGGAAAACCCATAGCAAAGTGATTCTTCCTCTTCCTAGTTGCTTGATTTGATCCTTGGAGTAGAAATCTGCCCACCAATAGCCTCTAGGTAAGTCAATTTCTCCTCCTTTCCTTCCTCGCTCAAAGCTTTCTCTCTCTATGCTTGAAGAAGAACCCTTCACTCTCTCTCTAAAACTATCTTCCTTTCAAATTCAACTCACTCTCCTTTATATAGATCCTGAGTACACATATCACGGTCTGATATCACGCCCGTGAAGTCGATAGTGAAACCGTGATCTCGACAAAAAACCCATAGCAAAGTGATTCTCCCTCTTCCTAGTTGCTTGATTTGATCCTTGGAGTAGAAATCTGCCCACCAATAGCCTTTGGGTAAGTCAATTTCTCCTCCTTTCCTTCCTTGCTCAGAGCTTTCTCTCTTTATGCTTGAAGAAGAACCATTCAGTCTCTCTCTGCAGAACTCCTTTCCTTTCAAGTTCAACTCACTCTCCTTTATACAGATCCAAAGTGCACATATCACGATCTCATATCACGCTCGTGAAGTCAACAGTGAAATTGTGATCTCGCCGCAAAATGCGCTGTTTCACTAACGAACTTCACGGGTTGCTCGTTGACTTCACACTTTGGAGATTGTGATCTTGGCAATGACCGCGAGCCATGCAAAACCTCTTTGAAATGTGCAAACTTCACGGTTGGTTTGTCCACTTCATGGTCTGCCGCCCATGATGATAGCACCAAAATCACGATCCTCGCACTTTCGTCCATTTGCTCCCTTTTCGCCCTCTTTTGTCCAACTTTTGATCTCGGTGCCAAGATTACCTGCTACGGTCTGAAACATGACACAACGCGAGCAAACCTAGCATATAATAGCTCCAATGACAGTGCAAACCAAGACAAACGGTGCAAGGCAAGGGGCATAAAAGTATGTAATCTAACTCGAATCATTCTTTTATTGATTTGTATATTTTGTAATACTAATTTGTACAATTTTATTAGCCTTTGTATATTTTGTAGTATTGGTTTGTATATATATAGTTTAGGCTAGCCTACACTTACCTTATGGAAAGCCCGTCAAGTTTTTTTTATTTAGGCCATGAATAAATCGCAGTTTGGGGCATGATAATATACCCTAACCTCCAATGGTGAACCCCAGTCCCCAATTATCTAACGCAAACCTTAAGATTCATTTAATTTTTAAATGAAAATCAACGGTTTTGATTATTTGAAATTATCAAAGTACAAATAATAGGATGCAGACGTATAGCGTATGCTAGCATTTGCTATATATATATATAAGGGTGATATAAGTTTTGTTAGGTGCTAATTTCTCTTGTTGTTTGGGAAAATGAACCCTAGGTTTAAGATTTTTTATGGGTTTGTATGCATGGCATGTTTTATGTTCAACTCGAGTACTAATTCCTTCTATCTATGGTTTAGATGCATGAGATCATATCATGTATGTGTTAGCCTTAGGGTTAGTCATATGGTCGTATGTTTATTATATACTTACTTTGGTAGATAACATAGAGGCCTAACTAGAGAAAGAGGTGACTATCCCCCTCTAGTTAGGAGCTCACCTAGTTAATGCTTGTTAGATGAGTGCATAATCATCGACTTATTCGATTTGTGTGTGAAAGGGTAGAACCTGTTTACAGGAGGTAAAACCTACCCTCAGTTAAGAAAGTCGGATGAGGTGACATTTGGCCGATGGACGTGGCTAAGAGGGGGTTCGGGAGACAAGATCATTGCACTGATCCCCAGATTTATGACCTTCGCACCTTGAATTGACATTGCTTACAACCATTATTTCTTCGACTTCATGCTCATGTGTCTTGGTGACGAGGGTTGATGCTTGATGTGAATCCATCCGGTTCTTGTCCTCCTTGTCTCCATTGAAAGCCTTGAGTTGGCTCACATGATAGACCATGTGGATCTCCAAATGCAGCGACACCTCCACTTTGTACTCTACCTTGCCAATCCTCTTCACAGTGGGGAATGGCCCTTCATGGCAGCAAAGCAGTACCTTGTGCATGTTCTTGAGATGCTTGAAGCGATGAGGGTAGAACTTCACCATCATCTTGTCTCCCTCTTCGAATTCCAAGTGTCGCCTCTTCTTGTTGGCACACTTCTTTATCTTCTTACTAGCTCGGGCTAAGTAAGACTTGTACATCTCCATCTTCTCGTGCCAGACTTTAGAAAACTTGGAAGTTACTGGGTTGTTGCCTCTATAGCCCATTACCACCATCATAGGTGTCAAAGGCTGCTATCCCGTCACCAAATCAAATGGACTTGTGTTGGTCAACTCGCTGCAGTGCAGGTTGTTGGTAAACAGAGTCGTATCCATCAGCTTCACCCAATCTTGCTGGTTAGCACTCACTTAGTTCCTCAAATACACCTTCATCAAGGCGTTCACCCGCTCCGTCTGCCCATCATTTTGCAGATGAAATCTTTTCAAGAAGTTCAAGTAAGAGACCTTGATCTTGAACAATTCCCACCAATATGTACCCGTGAAGGGCCCACCTCTGTCATTCACCATGTTGCTCGAGATGCCACAATACTTCACCACGTTCTTGAAGAATAGTCAAGCAACATCTTCAACCATCATATCTTCCGGCCCAGGGATGAACACTCCATACTTTGAGATCCTGACCACAACAACCATAATGCAACCACATTCGTTGACTTTGGGAAGTCCAACGATAAAGCTCTTACTTAATACTTTCCCATTGTCGATGAGGGGTGGGCAAAGGCTTTAGCAAGCCTGTCGGGCTTGTCGGCTCCATCTTGTCTTGTTAGCACAAGACAAGTCTTCACATACATCACCATGTCTTCTCTCATACGCGACCAATACTATGTTTCTTCGATGAGGGCTTGTGTTTTCTTGATGCCTGGATGACCAGTCCACTTGGAACCGTGGCACTCCTTCATGATCTCCTTCCTCAAGTTGGTCCACCACGATATGAACACACGCTATCTCTTGTTCATGATGAGTCCATCCTTCATCCAAAACCATTAACACTTCTCTTGATCGATGTACTCCATCACGGTTTTGGTGAAAGGGTCATGTCCAATGCCTTCGACGACTCGCTCCTTCAAAGGAAACACAGGCTGGCTGATGCATGCGGCTGCACGCTTCTGCATTGGATTTCGCCTTTCCTGGATTGTACTCCATCACGAAGTCAAACTCGACCAGAAAGTCTTGCCACCTTGCTTGCTTGGGGTTGAGCTTCTTCTGAGTGAGGAAGTAGCTCGTCGCCACGTTGTTCATCTTCACTATGAACCTTGACCCCAACAAGTAGTTCCTCCACGTGCTCAAGCAATAGACCACGACCTCATTACCTTCTTTTGGATCATGTATCACCTCTCCGTCTCGTTGAGCTTAACGACTCTTGAAGGCAATGAGATGCCCATCCTGCATAAAAACACCGCCAATAGCAAAGTCGGATTCATCGGTCTGCACTTCGTAGGCCAATGTCAGATTGGGGAGCACGGGCTCCTTCATCACCGCTTCTTTCAAGGCCTCGAATTCTTATTGGCATCGATCTGACCAATCTCAAGCCTTATTCTTCTTCAAAAGATCCATCAAAGGTGCTGCAATATTGGATTATCCCTTGATGAACCTTCAATAGTAGTTAACAAGGCCGAGGAATGACCGCAACTTCGACACCTTCGATGGCGGCTCCCACTCTTGGATTGCCTGCACCTTCGCCCCATCCATTTTCAACTTGCCTCCACCTATAATGTGCCCCAAGAATGGAACCTCCGTGGCTTCAAAATTGATACTTGGCGTGCTCATCTAGTGTCTTGCTATATACTACAATGTCATCCAAGTACACCACGACAAATCGAACCAAGAATGGCTCGAACACTTGATTCATCAAAGTGTAGAACATGGCTGGTGTGTTGGTTATACCAAATGGCATTACAAGAAACTCTTAAGAGCCATATCGCATCACACAAGCCGTCTTCGGCTCGTCTCCCTTTCTATCCTCACTTGATAGTAGCCCAAGC